CGGGGGGCCGGCGGGGGGGTGGCTATGCGGCGTACATCGATACCCCACCTGGGTGGCTGCTCCGACACACACAACACGATGCTCTTGCACAATTGTTTCGTCGTCTGTCACTGGCGGAGGGTCTGGAAGGGCCCCAGCCCAGCGGCACCGGGCACGGCCCGTGGGCAAGGTCACTTCTCCTTCTTGGAGGTTTCTGTCGTCTCTTCTTTGGAGGCCCCCGGCACCTCCTTGGGGGTAGAGCTCTCCTCGTAGCTGAGGACGAGAGGGACAAGAGGGAGGAGTGAGTCGGGCCAGACCGTCCACGGGGACAGAGAGTTCACATAGGAGGGGGTGGGCTCAAGCCACCAGCCCCCCTCCCAGTGCGGGAAGCCCGATGGGGGAGAGCCCAGGCAGAGAGACAGGGGTGTGACACCCCCTGGACACCTCCAGGGATCGGGGAAGTGGTGGGGGGGACACCCAGCCAGGCTGGAGCTCGCCCCGGCAGAGCCATCACACCAGCTCTGTGCCCAGGGGTCTGTCCTCGCTCCCAGAGCGCCAGGCTCCCCCCCACGCCAAGTGGGGCCGGTTAACGGGGTGGGAGCTGCAGCAAGACCACCAGCAGCCACCCACCCCCAGGGATTCACTCGTCTGGCTGCAAACTCCCCCCCGCCAGCACCGGCCCCGGCGCCCTGGTGAAGGGAAGGGGGGAGCACTGCCTTCCAGCGGGAAGCACGAGGGCAGAGATGGCAAATCCCCTCAGAGACGGGGAGAGACGCCAGCCCGCGGCAGCGAGGCGACAGCTACTGCCTCTGCCCGGGGAAGGGGAGAGCTGGGCCCAGCCCCTACCTGGCCCGAGCGACAGACGGAGAACGGGCACCGCCTGCCATCGCTACATGGCACTGGGGCTTTGCTGCCGGCGTCGGCGGGGACAGGACAGTTTCTGCTGCATGGAATCAGCAAGGCTGGCCGGCGAGCCGGACACGGTGGGAAAGTGGGTAAGTCTTGGTGTGTGTGGCAAGATTTCAGCAGAGGATTCGTAGCTGCAGGAGAGAGAGAGAAAGCAGGATGGGAAAGGGGGAAGATGACAGAAAGGAGAGGCGGGGAGAGAGAGGAGAGAAAAGCAGAAGAGTTTTGGAGTGAGACTGCTGCAAACCCACCACCCTGCATGGGCAGCCTGCTGTCCCCTCCGGCCGCTGGCACCCGGGATGTGCTGGGAGGATCCTGCCTGCACCCCGGCAGAGCAAGGGCTGAGACCCGGGGAGAGGGCAGCTCCCGCTGGTAGGGGTAGCGCCACGGGGGAGCAAGCCTGGGCACTGGGAGGCAGCGGCCGAGCAGCCCAGGGGCTGTGCAGGCAGCAGACCGCTGCAGGCAGAGCCTTTCCTGCCGCTCGAGGACAGCGCAGGGCGGGTTGGCAGAGGCTGAGCGATGGTCGCTGCCCGCCTGGGGAGGCTTGGCAAGGCTGAGAGCCGCAAAACTGATCCTGATGTCGCCCATCTCTGCCCCACCAGCACCCCCTTCCTGGTCCTGCAGCACAGATCCCTCCCCGCAGCGCTGCCTGGACTCGCCCCTGCCCCGGACCCTCACTGCCCTCTCCTGGGGCAGCCAGCGGTGCTGCCAGGACCGTGCAGGCAGCTGCCTGCTGGCAGAGACCGCAGGGGAAGTGCCAGGCTGGGGCTGGCGGCAGCGCGGGGAGCCTCGGGGCGCGCTGAAGCTGCGCGGGTGGGAGTCACTGCCCTCCGGGCACCAGTCTTGTCGCATCCTGCTTCCCCTGCCTGCAAGTGGAGCGACTTCAGGGGGCTGAACCCCAGGGGGGCAAGTTTCAACCCTCCAGCCTCCTGCCCTTGCCCTGGCAGCAGGCAGCACACAACAGGCAGTGCTTTGCTGCCCGAGCAGCTTGTGCTGATGTTCGGGGTGGGGCAGTAGCCCTCCCCCCGGCCGGCTGCCTTCCTGCCAGGCCCACCGGCCTCGCCGCTCGCCCCTTCCCCAGTTTCCAGGCAGGGGAGGCGGCGGCGCGGCTGCGGGGTGGTGAGTCAGGCAGCGGGAGAGCGGCTGCAGGATCCCAGGTGCACAGGAAGGACGATCCCGGGACACTCGGCGCCTGCAGCAGCGATCCTCAGAAGCAAACATCAAAGCGCGGGCAGGTGCGGCAGGGCTGGGGAGCCGGCCCAGCTGACAGCCCCTGGGAACACACATACCTGCGCCTCCCAGGGGAGGGGAGCAGGCGAGGGCAGCCAGCTCCTCAGTCAGGTGCTGGTTTCCCTCGGAGCGGGCTGGGGGCTTGGGCAGGGGCACCTCCAGAGTGGGGAGGTTGCAGGGGGCACGGCCCTGCTTTGTGATGGGTGTTCCAGTCAGAGAGGGACCTGCGGGCCTTGACTGCTAGCCAAACAGGAGGCAGCAGTGTGCCCGGGGGCCAAGGAGGCCAGTGGCATCCTGGCTTATATCAGCACTAGAGTGACCAGCAGGGACAGGGAAGGGATCTGAGCCCTGGGCTCAGCACTGGGGAGGCCGCCCCTCGCTGAGTGGGTTCAGTGTTGGGCGGAGCTGGGGCAGGGTCTGGAGCACAGGTCTGCTGGGGAGCGGCTGGGGGAACTGGGGGGGTTCAGTCTGGAGAAGAGGAGGCTGAGGGGAGACCTCCTGGCCCTCGGCAACTCCCTGCCAGGAGGGGGCAGAGAGGGGGGATGAGTCTCTGGAGCCAAGGCCCCAGCGCCAGGCCCCGAGGGAATGGCCTCAAGCTGCCCAGGGCAGGGTCAGGCTGGCTCTGAGGAAGGATTTCTGTGCAGAAGGGGCTGTTGGGCGTTGGAATGGGCTGCCCAGGGCAGGGGGGAGTCCCCGGGATCCCTGGAGGGGTTGAAGAGTCGGGCTGAGCCAGCACTGAGGGATCTGGGGGAGTTGGGAACGGTCAGGGGGAGGGTCAGGGTTGGGCTGGAGGAGCCTCAAGGGCTTTTCCAACCCAGATGATTCTGGAATTCCCTGCCATCCTCAAACAAGCACCTGCACCGGGCCAGCACCGAGCCTCGAGCACAACCAGCCAAGCCAAGTGGGGAAACAGGCCCTGGGCGGGCCAGGCTGTGCTCCACAGGGCTCCAAGCAGGCAGGAGACCCCCGCTGACAGCGAACAGGCACACGTCTGGAGCGTGGCAGGCTGAGAGAGGGGCCAGAGCGCAGCACAGACCCCCTTTCTCCGCACCTACAGTCCCCGCGGCAGGGAGACTGCTGCAAACCAGGACACCTCAGGCGAGCAGGGAGGCTGGGATGTGCTCGAACCAGCCCCGGCTGCTCTCGCAGCCAGATCCGGCTCCGTTCTCCCCCACCCACGGGCCCTGGGACACAATGACCAAGTATCTCGGCACCAGGTGCGCGGTCCCACCCTCCCCTGCCCGCCAGCGCACGGGAAGAGTTTGTCACCGGGGCGTAAAGCAATACCAGATGCTGCCTGCCTGTTGGTACGGCACCAAAGCTCCCACCCGGCTCCGAGGAGGTGGCTGGAGCCAGGGCCGGCGTGTACGAACACAGACCCGCTGCCTCCACCCGCAGACGCGCGCACGCACACCCAGAGCATGCCCAGATGAACCCGTCCCTCCAGCTGTGCCCAGGCGTGGGAACATCTGCACGCTTCATGCACTCCAGCGCCGCGGGCGAAACAGCTCCGTCCCCAGCTGACGCTCACCTGAACATTTCAGTTACTTCTCCCTTTGCCAAGGCCACGAGAAGCGGGAATCCGATGCATGCGGGGACCAGGTACAGAAGAGCAGGCTGTCGGGAAGGAGAACAACTGTTAAACCACAAAAGAGCCCTCGGGAGGAGCGCCCTGTCCCCCCTGCGCCCGGGGTGCCTGTCACAGCGCGCACAGAGGGTTAACGCTTTAGAAAGCGGCTTTGGAAGCGGAGTTACAGCTGCAGTAGAACAAAACCCGCATGGTGAGGCCCCAGAGGGCCACGAGCACCCCGAGAGCCCCCACGTGGGGACAGCACCCGCGGCACACGGGCTCGCAGGGCCCCTCTGTGGCACAGAGGGTGGGGTCTTCAGGGGCAGCTTGGTCACAAAGAGCCACAAAACCACAGGGCAGCCCGGCTGAGGTGCTGCCGTTGGAAATGCAGCTGCCTGAACCAGCCAGGACTCTGCTCCAGCCAGGCACACAAGCTTTGGGCAGGGAAAGGTACAGGCAGGCACTGGAAAAGCAAAGCCAAGGGAAGGGAGGGACTCATCTCCTCCTTCCTGGCACGACGCAGGAGCCCCGTGGCCAAGCTGGCGTGGCCAGGCGGGGACGTGCATCCACGGGAGCAGCAGGGCAGAGCTCACCTGGGCGTGCTTGAAGATGTGCATGATGAATATGGTCAGGCCCAGCCCGAAGATATAGGCCACAAAGCTGGTGTAGAAGTACGTGTGCGTGTTCTTCTTCAAGCTGTAGGGAAAGGGAGCAGAGCCCAGTGACCTCAGGCCTGGGATGCCAGTAGCCAAAACTGAGTGTTTACAGCCACCTCCCACCATCTCCAGGGGGCTCTCGAGGTGGCCGCCGGTGCAGGCCCCTGTCCTGTGGGAGCAGTGCAGTGCTGGACAGGGTGACACTGAGGTGAGGGGCTGGGGAGGGGAAGGACGAGCACGATCCTGCTGCTGGATGACTACTGGGGGGGAGGAATCGGTGCTGGGACCCGGGGAGGGGGTCCCACCTTCTCAGGGGAGGCACAGCCAGTCCCTGGCACCCCGCTCTGAGCACGTGCTGCTTTATCGCAGGCAGCAGGAACTGGGATTTCCAGCAGGTGCAGGCAGGATGTGGGTGGAAACACCTGGAAGAGCTGGCACAGTCGGGAGGGTCTGTGCAACAGCAGCAGGAGCGGGGCCACCCCACGGCCGTCGCACGAAGCCGCCCGTTCCCAGCCGGAGACTTGCGGTGTGGGGCAACTGCCAAAAGCTACACCCCGGCGGTGGGTGCAGCTTCGCTGCGTGGGAGCTGCTTCCCTCAACGTCAGCGATGACCCAGAGGCAGCCAGCACTGCCGGGCACCCATTCGCCTCCACGCGAGCACCTCCCAGGTGCCAGCACCCCTGGCTCTTTCCCACGCTGCCCTCTCCTCCGGAGCCGGGGAGGCTCCGCGGGGCCGTGCTGCCTGCCTCGCCATGCACACAGCAACGCCCGGGAGCTCCAGCAACTCACCCCGGCGCCCAGGACTCGCCCGCAAAGCCAGCCCTGCTCACATTTACTCTTCCAAGAGCTTCCCCTTGCACCCCACCCCGTCCCAGCCGCTCTCCCGGGTCCCCACGCCAAGCCCCAGAGGGGAGCACACAACTGCGCTCCTGGCTTTCCCCTTCCTTTTTTTTTTTTTTTTTTTTTTTCTCCTCTACAAAAGCAGTTCAAATATGCTGCAAGATCCGACCTGCCAGAGACCCTTCCCTGCCGCCCACTCACCTGATGTCAAACCGCAGCAGCAAGGCAATGAAGATCCCTGCGGGGAGAAGGGGACAGTGAGGGGACGGGGCTGCAGGCGCGGCTGAGGGAGGCAGGGCAGGACCCGCAGCCGCTCTCGGGGTGCCGTGCCTGGGCTGACAGTGCCCTCTCGCGGCACAAGGCACCGGGACAGCACCCGGACCTGGCGGCAGACACCCCCCGCCCCGGGAGGGCCACAGGGCTCCAGCACGGCCAAAGGCAGAGCGAGGCACCCGCTCAGCTCCCTGCAGCCCCTTCGGAGGGGTGATCCTGGTCACATCCCCCCGTCTTCTGTCCTCACCTGGAATGACAATGTCTCCCAGACCCAGCATGGCAAAGTTGTCGGCTTCCAGCCCCTTCTCCAACAGGTCCTGAGGGAAAACCACTACGAGGAGCAGAGAGAGGCACAGTGAGGGGAAGAGTGGCTGTGCGGGGCAGAGCCCAGCACCACTGTGCCTGGCAAAAAGGGACTGGGGCAGGGCAAGACCCCTGTCCCTGCCCTCGGCCCCCTCCTCCCCGGCAGCTCCCCTTGTTCTCCTTCCTGGGACAACTCCAGATAACCGAGGGGTTCACAGCCAGCCCCATGCACAGGTTTCAACCCCAGCTCCCAGGACCCAAACTACCGCGTGTTCCACAACAGCACGAATTCATCCCTCCTGCTGTTTTGGGGGGAGTCTGTGGGTGGGTTTTTTTTGGTTTGTGGGTTTTGTTTTGGTTTTATGAGCAGGTGAAATTGCCCATGCTGAGGGCAGAGGCTGACCCAGCCAGCTCAGCACCCTGCAGACCATCCTTCCCCAGAGGCCCGGCCCAGCTCCCTGCAGGTCGGTGGCACCACGCTGCAGGCTCGGGGGTCACAAGCAGGAGCTCCCCCCTCCACACACACCCCACCTTCTGAGCCATCTCCAGAAGACAGGAGAGCGCAGGGGGCAGCAGCCCCAGCAGAATGAAAAGCCCACAGGGAAAATCTACTCACATTTTATTGGGGCCTCAAACGATTTGGCAACTGTCACCATCACATTGGTGCCGAAGACCTAGAGGCAAACAGAGGAGTCCAGGGTGACCAGGGCTGTGCAGGGACAGGCATGTGCTCAGCTACAGCCTCACCACAGGGCCCAGAGCAGCATCACAGGCAGAAAATAACCAAAGAGGCACTGAGCTGCAGGCAGACAGCCCGGCAGCGAGCCCAGGGGAGAAGGCACAAGCCAGCACTCGAGGCAGCGAGCGTGTCACGGCCGTCCGGCTTTCCGAGCAGCGCTGGCAGACGGGTCACATCGCAGAGCCACGGTGCTGCCCCCCGCCCGGCCCTCCCCGGCACCTACCCCAGCTCAGCTCTAATTAACCAACTCGGGGAAAAGGCCTGACCTCACGCAGGACCTTATCTGAGGGCACGTTATCTCCCAGCAGAGTCCCAGCCAGCGCCAGGCTGCTGCCTGTGAGCTTCCAACGGGGACTGGAGCGATTGTCAGATCAGCTGCATTTTGCTCCGAGGTCATTTATTTGTACTGTACTATCAGCTTTAAACACTGGTGTGGTTTTGGGGACGGACTGCAAACACACAGGTCAACCACCCTTATTTTTGTTTAGCTCCAGTCTTGGCCATACCAGCAGTTGGCACATAAACCAGGTGCTGCTCAGCACCAGGTGAGCAAGATCCTCAAGCCAGGGATTAAAGAGAAACCTTAAAGCAAGCACTGGGCATCAGATTAAATAATTAATTCCCATAAGGTGCAGCAAGTCCTGAGCATTGCCAGGGAGTGACAGGACTCCACCCTGGGACCAGGAAAAAGCATCAGATGTAAATTCACCCCACGACTACGCAGGGGACATCATTGATCCACCGAGCATTCTCCTTCCTCCTTGAACTTCTCCTTGGATGTCACTGCGATTAAATCCACGCTAAAAATCCAAGCAGAAGGGCACAGTAAGATGGTCTCCACAACAGCCCTTCCGTGAGGCGCCGGCAATACACGGGGAAGCCAAGGCAGGAGACAGCCCGCAAGCGGAGAGAGCGAGGGTTACGCTCACGCCTGTCTCCAAAGCCCTGGGAAGACACTCACACCCCGAGCAGGACGTGAGGCGCAGGGTGTGCTAAGCCAGAAGGCTGAATCCTCTCCAGCTGAGAGCAGCGGAGGAAGTGGCACACAGGCTAACGAACCACAGAGCTGAGTCTGTTAACGAGCCTATGAAACAGGGGCAGCGCCGGCCAAGTACAGAATAACACACAGTAGCCAGGCTTAAGTAGGGAAGGATTACTCAGGCAGCTGCAGAGCTGCTGGACAGACCTCAAGGTATACAAGGCTCTCAGACATTTGGGAAAACAGAAATTCAGAAGGCGGAGGCGGCAGGAAGGACTGGGGAATACGGATGCTACAGGGAGCAGCAGGCACCCAGGCCCGCTGCAGGGAGACAAGGAAAACTCCAAACTGAAGCTGTCTGGGCGCTGTGCTGCCTGCGGGAGAGACCGGAGGCGGTCCAGTGCCCGCTGCTCCGCGCCAGGGAGCAGGAGGACGCTCACGAAGCGGGCAGATGACAGAGCCGAGGCACAGCTCGGCGGGATTGGTGTAACCCAGGGCAGCCTCATCCTCCGGCCCACCCAGCGGCTCCGTCAGGCACAGGGAAGAGCTCAGCGGGGAACACAGGTCACCGGAACTGGATACAGCACCCACCCGGTGCCCACAGCAGCCCTGGTGAGATCCCTGCCCGCCCTGGGCTCTCAAAGCCAGAGATTAAAGGAAAATGCACTTGCTGAGCCACGTTCTCCCCGTTTGCTTCTGTCCTCACCCCCACCACACCCCTCTGGGCTGCGCAAGTGGAAATCCTGACTGCAAACGCGTGTCCAGCCAGAGCTCTGCCTCTGAAGAGACGGTAACACCACGCACGCGCCGGCCGCCAGCGGCTGCAACCCGCGGCCGCCCCGGGGAACGTTCCCGTTTACCCAGAAGACGTCGTAGATGAAGAGGCCCCCAAGCAAGATGCAGCCAGTGCTGACGTTGTTCAAGTGCAGCAGCTCCACCCCGTTGAGGGAGAACGCCAGCCCAAAGAGATTGTTAGCGATCCAGTGCTGGGAACAACAGGAAAAGGAGATTTGGGTCCCGCTGCACGTGCCGAGCCACGGCCTCGGCCCACAGAGGCCTTGTGTGGGGCCTGGGTCTGATCCAGCCCAGTCCCTGCTCCCCCCCAGCGGGGCTGCAGCTCGCTCACCTTTCTCAGCAGGTACCAGACCCCCACAACGCTGCTCAGTGCCAGGCATACCAGGTCCTTGGTGTCAAACTCGTAATTCACTATTTCTGCAATAAAAACCGAGAAGTGAACTCTTGGGCAGCCCGGGCGGCTCCCCTTCCTGCACAGGGCAGAGATGAGGGATTCTGCAGCTGGGGAGCAAGGCAGACCACAGCTGACGTCCCAAACGAGGGGACTGTACCCACAGAAATGGCCGGGCCCACGGTAAACACGTGCAAACTGCATGCGAGCGAGCAGCTGGCCCTGGCAAGCCTGGACCTTCTCCTCCAGCCAGACTCTGCCACATGGACAGCATCTGCGATCCTTCTGTCAATAAGGAAATTGGATTCAGGCTCTGTCTAAGGCAGGGAGAGGTAAATCATCTCCCTCTTCCTGCACCGGTTAACTCCTGGTGGTATCACTAAAACTCTTCCCTTACCAGTAATGCTACTGGGCAGGATACTTATCAAAGCATCTCCTACCAGCACCAAGATTCGAATCAAATCAGTTAAGGCAGCACCAAAGATCAGTGCTGTGTCACCCAAGGAGCTTCCAGAAAGGCAGCGCACTCAACAGCACTCCCAGCTCCACTCCTGGGATACTCTGGGATCTGTTTCTGCAGTTTCGCTGCCAGCCAGAGGCAGAGAACCAGCCGGTGCAAGAGGCACAGGGCAGCCCCAGCTCTGCAGGGACACGTGGGGCAACGGGGAGCAAGAGGCAAGTCTTGGAGAAGGTTGTTTCAACGGGCTGAAAAGTTGAAATACCAAGTGAGCAGAAAACAGAACGGTAAAGGCAGAAAGCACTCAGGCCCCCAGAGAGGCCGGCGAGCCAACATACCTTCCTTGCTCTCCCCGGAGCCCTGGGTGAAGAGGAGCTGGTACTGTTTGTTGGGGAAATTTGCAGGGAAGAATCTGTTCATCATGGGGCTGAAATGAGAGGTGTGAAAGGCAGTTTGACAGACGCCCCGCAGGACACCCCGCCCAGCACCTCTGCGGGACGGCATCGCAGCCCACAGCCCCTCCTCAGACGGGGAAACGCCAGCTTTTGCCACCTGAGGGACTGGCAGGGGCCCCAACTTCAGTCCCTGAGCCCCAGACACGGGATCTCGGCCTCCCCGGGGGTCTGATCTGCCCGTGTGTGACAGTCCCCCAAAATGCTCTAAGGCAACGGGCACAGAGCATCGCCCCCAAGAAAGGGGGACACACCCCAGACCCCAGCATGTGCCCTGGGCCCCCAGAACTGGCTGGACCACCACTGGACAGCTCCTCTGCAGAAATGGCAGTAGGGACAAAGCCCCTGCCCAGCATCAGTCTAGGGAAAGCATCTGGTCCCCAACGTCCCAGAGCTGAGGAAACAGGAAACCAGTTTTACTTTTTCAGTTCCTGAAACAGCCCGAGCTTTCAACACCTCGCACCAAGCGTCAGCGCAAGAGGCCGGGGACATTATCGTGAGCTCCAGCTGCCCGTTTCAGCCGCCCCAATAAGGGGAACACGGGTGCTGAGGAGCTCTCCCCTCCGCAGGGCAGCGAGCACTGTACCAGCCCGCAGCAGCAACTCAGGGCGAGGTGGCCCAGTCCCACGACGGTGTGGCCACCCACAGCTCCGTGACCTCTCCCAGCGATGCCGTACGGGCTACCAGATCGCTGGGACCCCCGCTCCGAGACACAACAAAGGGTTCACAGTCTGCTCTGGGCCCTTCACGCCACGCTAAGAGCTGGACTTGGCTCTGCTGCAAGGCAACGGTGCTCTGGAAACAACCTCCCCCCCAGTAAACCCAACGCCCCACTGCCTCGCAGAGCGGGCAGCCTCGGACCCCCCTGCCCCAGCCGCACCCTTCCCTGCGCTGCACCTGATGGTGTGGGACAGGGCGAGGATCCCCAGCACGAAGAAATACATCGAAAGCAGAAGATTGATGTACTCTTGAGAGAATATCTGCAAGACAAATCCGGAGAGGGGTTAGTTACCGCAGCGTCCTCCCCATCCACATACAGCACTTCACGTGTCTGTCAGCAGCTGCGGTGTCAGTGCTCCAGGGAGAGGAGAAAATTATCTGGAACAACCCAAATTCTCACACCACTGATGGGAAATATGTTGGAAATAGCCGCGTGCTCGCAGAAGCAGCACAATGGGCCTGCGAGTTGTTGTGCATTTATGAGCTGCTCGGGTCAAAAAATAACTCCTGTGCTGCAGAAAGGAGGACAGAGCTTCCCCCGCAGAGCGAGGCACCGCGCCGCTCCCGGGGCTGCCCCAGCAGAGGGGAGCAGCAGCACCCCCCTACCTCGCTACCCCAGCGCGTCCTGCCCTGATAAAATGGGGTGTTACCAGAAATCCTGCCCTCTAACACACACACACTGCCTTACCGCCGAATCACCCCCCTACAGCCCAGCATGGGGGGACCCCGGGGACTCCATGCTCTCCTGAAGGAGGATGCTGGAATATGAGAGCTCAGGGCAGGCTGCAGATATGGAAAGGAAGAGCTGCTGATCACGCAGTGACTTCAGCAGGGCCACACTGCATGTTCTGTACTTCTTTTCCTGGCGTCTCCATCCCAGCCAGGAGCAAGAGGTAGAAAAGGCACCTGAGGAGGTGGAGGAGCACCCCGAGACCTGGGCACCAGGGAAGGGGTGGGCTGCAGGGAGCCCTTTCAGCAACTGGAGGGGCCTGGCAGCAGGGTCTGGTGGCTGCTCCATACCCCCCCACCGCGAAAGGCTCCGCAGATGCTCGGCTTTACTGCTGGGGACCTCCAAGAGGAGCTGCAGCCCCGGTGAGCGCCCAGGCTACAGCGGGCACTTTGCTAGAGAGGCCTGTTCCTGCCCGCTGCTGCAGAGCTGACCCCGCGGCTGCAGCACACGCACCCACGCCGGGGTCAGGACCTGTAAGCTGCAGTATCTTGAATTTTGCAGCCTTCTGCCCCGTGAGCAGCCCAGGACAGCGGGGCTGGAAGCTGCTGTACAGAGAGAACCACCCTGCGCGGGCAGCCCCAGGGCTCCTCAGGCCCCTCTGAGCTCTGCCACACGCCCGCGGGCAGCCGAGGGCGCTTTAAGCCAAGAACCTTCTCAGTGCAGCCGAAAGCACCTGCTGCTGGAATCTGCTATTTAGCAATGGTCACTTAACTCTGCTTCTTGGCTCTGCACACCTAGAAAACGTCACCTAAACACACAGGGGCTCACCCACGAGCTATAGATCGCCCAGGCCCGCAGCCGAGGTGCCTGCGGAAGCGCAGCGACGGCAGCGTTTGTGTCTCAGCAGGCCCAGCACCCTCCGCTTCCAGTCTGAGCGCCCTGAGATCAGCCCATGGCCGCAGGCAGAGCTCAGGGGTGAACTCGCCCCTCGGCAGCTCTCCAGAACCGACTCGTGCACAAACAGGCTCTGATTTCCCCCAAGCTGTGACAATTCAGGCGAGAACTGATGTCCCCTGGCGTGGTGACGCAGAAGGGCTCGAGCCGTGCAGCCTTACACGGTCCCAACACTAAGAGCCCCCAACTAGGGTAAGCCAAAAATGGAGTCAGCCCCACTCTGGGGGCTCCTGAGCGGGCAGGAGGAGGGCAGACACCAGCTCCCCGCCCGCCAGCGCCGCTCACTTACTTTAAAGAAGAGGTAGAGCCCCAGGAGGGTGCAACTGGCAACAATGGGAAATCGAGCAGCATCTCGGCTGGTGATGGTCTCCGGCATCTCCGAGGAGTTCTGGGGAGGGAAGGGGAGGACAGGAGTGGATCAGTCCCTGCTCTGGTTTCCTACCTGAGCAGGAGGCGAACAGACACAATGAGCAGGGCTCCAAGAGGGGCAAAGCACCCCCTGCCCCCCCCCCCCCGTCATTCCCAGAGTTGGCGCTGCATCACAGGCAGAGCCTGAGATGGAAAAAGCAAACCTCACGCTCATCCTTCCAAGGCCTGCCACAATTTATTGCTTTTTTTCCTCTTGGAGAAGGGAAAATCCCCCCTGCGCTGGTGCTTTTCCTTTCTCCCCGTGCGCCGAGGGGAGCTGGGCTCCCTCGCCGCTCACCCCCAGCTGTCCCCATCTGCACACACCATATGGCCATCACCCTCTGACTGACGTTTTTATCCCTCACCTCGCTCTTGGGACACTCGTGCTCTAAAGCTGCAGATTTATAAACCCCTTTCACCTTCTGAGACATCTTTGCACCAGCTGGCCCAGCCCCCCTTCAAGCCATTTCCCCCGAGAGACCTTCAGCTTTCAGAGGAGAGGCAGAGGGCTGCCTGCTCCCCTGAGCTCCAACCTCGCACAAACACCTGCAGACAGACAGACCGCACGCTGGCAGCAGCCCCTCATACAAAGCAGCCCTGTGAAGGGACAGCAGCTTATCCCGGGCACAGAAGCGCAGAATAAGTGCCCAAAGAGCCACCAGCTCCCTGCGGCGTGAGGGAAGAGAATCCACCCCCTCTCTCTCCCAGAGCGTCCGTTGCCTTGGGCTGCCAGGAACCCCACCAGAACCAGCTGAAGCAAGGCAGAAGGGTGGGGAAGGGGCTTTAAAACCCAGTAATAAATCAGAGCGTGGAAAACAGCCCCTTCTGCCGAGCTTCAGGATCCCGAGCGCGGGGATTTAAGTGCCAGCTGCTACCCGAGGCCGGGCAGGAGGTGCGGAGCGGCACGATGGGCTGCGGGGACAGCACAGGGTGTGCAGGCAGGAGCCCGGGGACGAGCCGCAGTGCTGCGGGGCGGGGGAGCAATGGCACAGACGAGCTCCCCCCTCAACACTGCATCTCTTGTAGGGGTACGAGGGGCGGCCCCGAGTTTTGCAGCACTTGAACTGATCGGGACAGCGAGGACGGGGCTGCAGAAGAGCCCCCCCGGGGGCCGCTGCCTCCACCGGGGCGCGCGGGGTCTCTTCGCCTTCCCAAGGCCGGCTGTGGGATGAGGCACCCCGGGGCGGGGTGAGGCCTAGAGGCCGCGGAGGGGCC